CAACTGAAGCAGTGGGTAACCGCGAACTATTTTCAAGACGTATTTGTTTTATTTATCTTTTTTGCGTTGGGGAGATGTTAATTTATATACCGGGTTTTTGCCCTTACCCAACGTATATTAGTAAGCACTGTATGCTCACTGATAAACAAACTTGACACGCAGAAAAGTAGGCTACGGCGCAGAGCAAAAGCAGAAACACCGATGTACCACAATTCTACCATTTTATCTCAAGAGAGCATGGGAATTAGTTGTGTTTTAGCTTATTTCAATAACAGCAATAATAATAGGAATCACACTAAGAAAGGAATTGTTAGAATTGTACCTACATTCAAACACGTGACGATCAGCACGGGCAAATACGCCACTTTTCAATTTACAGTCACGCAGATGTTCGATTGCTTTTAGCGTAAAAATAGCGCAATGCGTTGAGTTAGCCCGACAGCACATTCCGCAGGGTTCGATAAGAACCGTGCAATACGGTTATATATTACGCTGTTTACTGCCATGGATCGACCAAACAGAACTGAGAATTCAAGTTTGCCTGAAGATAATCATATTAATTTTATCTGTCTTTTACGAGCTAATCTAATGACGCAACTCGGTATTAACATATCGCCATTTAGACAACCCCATGGAACGGATGTTCATGAGGATGCAATGTTCGATCGTATTGTATTCAATGTAGTCTGTTAAATTATGTGGTGCCAAACTTTTGGGGTAGCTGCGAACATCCCTTTTAGTTTTCTTTAAATATTTAGATACAATTTATTACTAACTTTAAATTATTCTAAATGTAAAAAGGCATCATTTCATATAAAACCTTTGGTGTGTTGCTGTTAGTTTAATTCTCAGATTTGCAAGATGAACTCTCAATTGAAGATGGTAGACAAATATAAAATGTAGCCAAATAGAATACCGAAGTGTGACGTCACTTTGAATCAGAAGTGTGAAGTGCAGTGCAAACGAATGGAGTACGCGCGCGTTGGTTCACGCGCTGGTTCACGCGCTCATATCTTTTACACACTAATTATGCGCGTGACGTATTCACTTCGGTACTTTATTTTTTTCACGTGACATAACATGAAGGGCAAAGGCATATCCGGAAGTGCACCATGTCCGTGGAGGCGAGTGTATTACTAGTCCGTGTATTTCTATTGGCAGTTTCATGTACGCCCGAATGTTGAGAGACTTCGAAGGCGCGCGTGTTTCCATGCACATCTGTGTAAATTGAACGTGGACCGTTGAAATCACGTTTGTTCAAAATTTAGCCATCCAGTTCGTAAGTGACTTCGCCACAAAGGCAGACGCGCCACGATTTGCAGGCTCCCACTGAACGATCGCTGAAGTTGCGCGTTAACTTCCAGTTCCACGGTTCCACGTAACCGGCAATCAATGCATGTAACTCTATGTGCAGTGCACGTGTGCAGTGGGCGTGGTTTAAACTGAAGTGACGTCACACTTACGAACCGGATAGAGATCATAAGTTGAACCAGAGGTGACGTTGGGCACGTAAAATCGCACCATTACGACAGAACAACGTAGAACCTCGCAGACGCCTACGCGCACGTCAGATCTCGTAAACGCGGGCACGTTACATGGAATATCCTGTCGCCCTGTTCTTGCGCAAACTTGGCGTAGCGTTCAAGAATAGGCCTTAAACCTTCAGCTTTACTATGATCTATATGAGCTGAGCAATCACATTGTACCCGACGGTCAAAATGGATAAGAGGATAAATCGTAGATGAGAGCTTGTTTGAATGGGGGGGGGCAGAATTTTTCACTTTGCAAATCCTCAAAATAATATTTACATTTTGCAAATGGGTGCTACAGGAATCAGCACTTCAGTTTTTAGTGTGTATTAGTTTTTAAAATAATCATAATAATAATGGCCATTTTGAAGAAGGTGATCAACGCGCTGTTATAATTATCCCTGTACATTGGGCTCAGAACATCTGAACATTCCTGAAACCTCAGCTCCATGCATGGGGAATATACAAGCCAAATGCTGCCAGTATCAGACGCAAACGGCTAACCATAACCATATCTGCTTTCACAGGTACCTAGTTGAAATTTTACTTACTCCTGGGGGAGAGAGGCATGCAAGGTCGCACCCCAGCAAATAGGCCAGAAATGTGTCCGCCGAGCTCATTAATAAATTTAAAGTTGGGAGTTCTGAGAGCCATGGAATTAGGGAATTGAAGAAATATGGCACTGAACCTCTGGTCCAGACTCAGGGCCCCCTCCACTTCCGAGCAAATTGGCTACAGTCGGGTCCGAAAGTGGCACTATTTAGCCATTTTGCAAAGGGATCCATTGCCGAAATGGTCTACTTTGGGTGAGAATTTCTAAAACGTTCATCAGTCAACCCACTGGAAAGTGAAAGTATTAAACTAAAAGAGGACATGAAGAATATCATTTTCTCTGCAGCCCGGACAGCTGTGAGAGTTGTGAGTATTTTAATTAAAATAATTTGAAGTACCAGGATTTATCACTGGTGTCTATGGGAATTAATTCGTAGGGGTGCACCCATTGGGATAAAGTGACTAGCCCAAGATCACAACATGCTGACACCAACTGGATTGGAACTTCCTACCTCATGATCAGAAGCTTTGAGTGACGGTCGTGCATGTGGTTGTTATATGTTATGAGCTTAATTGCACCTGTTGTATCCCTTGCCTGTTTCCCGAGTTTATCACTGTATTCTAGGCATGTTAATGCTTTTGTCCTTGGTGATACACCGTACTTTTTGTGTAACTGAAAACATAGGATAGTCTCAAGACAGTGACTTAGTTCACTTTTTAGCAATCCCTCAGAGGTGATAGCCTTTTGTATGCTTTCCTATACGATAACCGAGAAATAATAAATAAAAGAATGAATCAATGAATATTATACATTCTTGACCTTACATGCATGGGCTGTCACTACGTTGGGTGACATGTGAACTGATGGGCTTTTGATTAAGGAAAACTGACGGTGACATGTGACTTGAAAAGCACCTGGCGCCTTTAAAATTAGAAAAAAATTCAATTATATTGCTCTCTGCAGTGGTCTGTAGTTAATATTTTCTCGTGAGCCAGCAGTGTGTTTATGAATAACCAACTTGCGTCATGTCGGAAAATACATCCAAACCAACTGACACAAAAATTGAATGAGCAGAAAGCCGACCGGAAACATGGACAAATTCACACCTCTCCTTTGCATATTCAAAATAATGTTACACAAAATATCAACTACTTACAATGATATCGTGTTGTTTGGAAGGTTTCTTGGGACGTTGGTCAGTTGTTTAGCACGGCAGTCCAGCCTGATACCAATCACCACACCCCGTACTTCAGATCCGTACCGTACCCCATCGGTACTGTTGCTGTCAATGTCATATGCATCTCGATACGTAGACGCATCTCCAGTCGTATTATAAGGCGATGCTAGTGACGGCAGCTCTGCTGTCCGTGTCTGCTCTATTTCAACGAAGCAGTCACAAGATTCGGGGAAAGTTCCCTCCTCTTTTCAGAACGAATGAAAGAAATCACAAAATCACATTTCCATACTTTGTAGTCTCGAGAAATGCACAGTGCCACTACCAAGCACAATGATACCGTCAACAGTCATTACGTGTGAAGAAGATTGAACATTCTCTTAAATACAATATTAAATAGGTTATGGTGGTCGTCAAATTCAACAGGTAATCCTGAGCATTCAGGGCAGAAAACCGGACTATGATGTCCATTTTACATACAACGCAAAACATGGGCGGAGATCCAGGGGGATGAGAGATATGCCCCCCCCCCTATTTTTGACATAGGGAATCCTCCTCCCACTTGTCAAGTCACTGACTCCATGCGTACCCGGTACCCTGCACCATCGACTCCGCGAAGGCCCACGTCACACTCTCACCTGGAAAGGAGACCACGCTGAGTTTTCAGAAATCACCCCCTTCCCCCATGAGACAAAGAATCTCCGGCCAAGACTCAAAAGCCTGGAAGTCGTTGATGTCCGTTGATTTATAATGCCTACACTGGGAATGTAACGTGCTGCAAATCGAGGCTTACGTGGGTTTTGCGAAATATTTTGTATTGGGGGAAAGGTTCTGATTCAAGGATTTGTGTACCATCTAATTCTTAGTGTTAAGAAGGAATATGCAAGAAAACAATACCACATGGGATTTCCTGTCTGATGTCTTCAATATTATCCCGCATCTTCTTGTTTCCTTCAGGGAGGAAGAAAAGGACGAGTAAAAATTCCAAGAGAAATAATAACATGTCCGATGAGATTTTAAAACATAGTAACCCATACATTATCTACAATTTCGACGAGAGCAGCACCGTCACACGCAGGACTCGAAAAAAGTTTAGAGTTACAAAGCTTGACTATGGTCAAGAGAGCAGTAAAACATCTATTTAACGATTCAAATTTAGGGAGCGTTCGATCAGGGGAGACAGGGCAACATTCACCTGGAATGGTCGTGTGTACTGTGTCAAACGAGACGGCGGCAACAAGATTAAACATGAGTCAACTCGTGGAAGTTAATCGAACGCACCTTTACACTATGAAGCGTAAATCGGCAACCAGCTTTGTACGTTTAAATTTGATTCATGGGTGCACCTACTCATTAACTGGTAGCCCTGTGTTGAGCATTTTAAGTGTTACCTTATGATTGGGACCACTTACTGCACACTATCTCCTCCTCATCTGACCCGTTATCGCAGTCAGGTTTACCATTGCATATTGCTTCCCGAGGCACGCACTGTGTAGAGTTCATACATGGAAACTCCTCTCCGCAGTGTCCATGTGCATCGAACACAGTTTGTTGTGGGCGTAATCCTGTCAGAGAAAATTTGAAAACTGAAAACGCACTGTCCCGATAAATGACAGTTGTCTTAGGTCCATCAGCGAGTTGACCAGAATCTGTGTGCCTGACGTTTCACTTCACAAGACTTCACAATAACAGTGGAGAGGGTGTGATACTTTGATGAGAAAATCGGGCGCAGCAACAAAAAGAGCTTATGGAGCAGTCATTTCTGCTGTGTAGGGCTTGATTTAAAAGATACAATCCAAGTACAAACAAAGGAATTATCTTTTGAATGTACACAAGAGGGGAACGGAGAAGAAACAAAAGATATAAAGGCAACAACCAAGGGAATCTCCTGTCATAATATCACCTTGATCTAAGTCATCCTCTTCCTCTTCACCAGAGTCATCATTCTTTGTCCCAAAGAAATTATCCCACATCTTTGCTAAATTCCAGTCTCCTAGTTAGACGAAAGAAAAGTTAAAACAAAGAAACTGATTGCCTTTTTGGATTTACTTCTTTCGTGTTTTGGCTGCATGTGGCTGCGACAGCAATCAGGAGATGAAGGAGCTAAACGTGGTTCAGTCGCTTATGGTTAGCCCATTCTGCCAAGCCATGCAGAGTGCTATTAACAGCACGCGTTATCTAAAAAGGTGGACTGTCAGAAAGACCACCAAAAAAGCTCTGTGACAAACACAACTAAAACACGGCAATGATAATTCGGTTTATGAAGGTGTACCATTTGCAATATAGTCCTATATTCCTGGTGACTGAATAAGGCTTCTGTTTATTCAAAAGCACCCAGGGCCAAACTTCACGGAGCTGCTAAACAGTTGATAGAAAGTCATATTTACTAGAGCAGAAAATTTTGCTAACCTTAAGCACTATATGGTGGTGCTTGACCTGGTTGTACTTACGATTGCGCGCGAAAAAGATTTCAATTGTGTTGTCACTACTTTCAGCAATTTTTCTCCAATGGAAGCATGCCTCCTGCCGTGCTTTCTGCTCTCGGTCTTCATGAAATACACATAACGTCAGTCAACGTAAAATAATCTGCTTATCAGGGTCTTGAAATTGGGCCCAGGCACATTAGTCCACTTTTGATGGTCCATCTCAGAATGTAAAATAAGCTTTGTTGGACAGATCAAGTTTAACATACACCAGATCGTGGTGGTTTAATAGGTTTTTGGTTTGTGACCCACAACAGAGCCAGGATTAAAGTGAAAGTGTTGGTCTAAAGCGAAATAGTTTTATTGTTTAGGTCAATGTTACGTGACAAGATACCCTCATTAATGCATGCTGCATAAGGCTGTACTTCATAGCTCGATTTCAAGAATAGTATCTATGCACACGTATCTAAGTTGGTCATGAATGTTAAACAAGGCTCTGAACTTTGACAACCTACAGGCCATTCGCTCCCCTTATGGAATATGGTCAGTTAATCATGCGAGATCATTATTAGATAATATCGAAGACGGAAACTGCTGGTCGACTCGGTTGGCCGAATCCACTGATTCCTGAGGTAGATCTATCAAGCTATAGGTACACTCACGACATTCCTCCACCTCCCACTCGTCTGAGCCGTTGTCACAGTCAGGCGTCCCGTCGCATATCGAGTCCTGAGGAACGCACTGTGTTGAGTTCAGACACGGGAAATCTTTTCCACAGTGCTTATGAGCATCCACAGCTCTACGCTGGATATGCCTTATTATTGCTGACAAAAAGAAATGCAGAAAACCATGCAAAATATCATACTGTCAGTAATCAATTCAGTACAGTTGGAACTCTAATTCGCCAACGATGGAAAACGTGTATTAATTTAAAGGGTGCGTTCAGTTTCTAATTATAATTCTTGTAAATGTCCGCCGTGTCCCGTTTGACCCCATTTTCAATATTCGTTTTGACACGCCAGGTATTTTTTTTTTACTTTTGTGCTCTTGCAAATTTGCATATTTATGAGAAAAAGTGTGATGTCATTCCATACAGAGACCTCTCACGTGTTCTTTTTTCTGGCTATACGCCGGCGTATCAGTGTATGAAATCACAAAATGTGAGCGAAGTTTTTCACGAGTATTTTCAAAACCCATGTAATAATATCACAAGTTAACCACAGCGCCCTTCAGGAAAAAAAAAAGTTAAATGGTTACAAAAGGCACTTTCAATAACACTAATTAAAAAAGGTGTATTTTTTCTTTTACATCAGAAGGAACAAAATGTTCCCACATGAAGTTCCCACATAATTTTCATAACATGGGCTGTCTGATAACAATTTAGTATCATGAGACCAGGACCATGTCTCATATACATATAGATAAATAGAGGGTGTTAAATAAATAGGGTGTTATTGGGGCAATGCAATCGAGTACCTCTTTTGAAATGTAAAGGTTTCAATTAAACCTTGAATCAATTGCAAGTTTTCGGTGGTATACCTAACACCCTTGATATTTATTTACGACTGACCCTAACTGGACGTTAAAGGTGTTACATTAACACCAAGATTTTGTAATATGCCAAGCCTCGAAATTACAGCTCGTTTTGCCCGCTTAATGTGCGATTTCGTTTGATGCCATGAGTTGTCAATATTAATTTTCAAATCTCGAACAGGTGTTGGGAATGATTGAAATACCACCAGTGTTATTTAAAACACCAGTTCTTGCTGTGTAGGCCTATGTTTTGTATCGCGATGAATTCCATGGGTTGCCAGACAATCTGACAAAAGGCCTGTCTTATCTCACTTGAACTGAACTGGCAACATTTTCATCGTGACATTTCATTTTCATGTCTCGAAAATTGTGTAGCTTAGAATAGAAGGGACATACAGGCAACGAGTGATACTGTGTCCCTCTAATGAAGATATCACTCGTCTTGTACAGAATGTATCATCTTTCAGCGTCTCAACCCTAATAGAGCAGTTTTGAGGCCATTTCACAGTCGGGGGCTGAGCCCAACCTCCCCCCCGCCCCACCCCCCGACTTCGGCTGTTACTCTTCCGATATCTTTTTGCAAAACGTGGCACTGTTGACTTGTGAAAATATTAGTTGGAAGTGCACGCCATTAGGACTCTATACCTAAGTGCATCAAGCATGTCCATCAAAATAGTTTTGCAGACCTGTCTTGGCAAACACGAGTATTTCACGAGAACGATATCCAATTTTCATGTAATTGGTATCAAAATGATTGTAAGTCATTACTGGAGAAAACCGTTTGAAAGCTCATCACTCAGAAAAAATGTGCAGTGACGATATCGGAGCTTTTAGTTAACTATTGATATTGTATTGTTAAACAGATCCACGAATAGTAAAACTTTCATGTGATACAACTTACCACCATCTTGCTCTGCTCTTCTACTAGCGCATAAGTGAAGTACGAAGAGCATCCGAAGAGCGTTGTGCAGTTTCCGCATGCTGAGGGCCTGCAGCAGGAAAAATAACCTTTAATATGATACTTGCCGGTCAATTACAAGAGATAATTGTCAGTGGATTCGGTTTGCTCTTATTTTCACACCTTTTCTTGCTTGTCCGCTTACAGTTGTAATAAAAGTAACAACTGTTGAAGGGAAATCAAAAGAAAAGGTAGCAGTAATAATTCTGTATACGTTTTTGTTTCCCATTATTACAGATGACTTTGTACATCTGTCTGGGGCATTCCACTGTTTCTTCTGCATCGATCGATTTTACAATTTAGCCATTCGAAGCACAAATTGAAGAATACATTTCACTGGAATTAATGGTATGTCAAATGATATGAGCCTCTTTAAAGCAAGATAGACGTCCAAAGATAGACTCGGGCACTTAAGTAATCAAAATGTGGAAATGGAAGGAAGCGATGATCGGTCAGTCTCGCCCATGACTGGGGGAGGAAATGTCGACGCCATACAGCCTACATGGTCGTGAAAGTGTTACATCCCAATCAATAGTTCTTTCAAGGTGATGCCGATCATGTTATTTATGTTACACTGCGGGTGTTTATAGCAGCTGAACTCAACCTAGAGTGATATTTACTGTCCACAATGGACAGAGCAGCTCATAAATAGTGTTATCGTCAAGAAACGGGCAGCAGCAGCTGAGACAAGCTACCTCAGACGAAATTGTACCATGGAAGTTACGATAACGAGCTCTAAATCCCAACAAATAGACAGAAAGCATTTTCTTGTAGTAGACATTTTGAGACAAACTAACGATACTGTATTATCGGTAAAGACATTTGTTTACAAGAAACAAATTATGATGTCAAACGAGGCAAGGGAAAATACCGACGCCTAATTTTTGCAGTGTCTTAATTCTGGTTATGTAAACATGAATATTGGCTTTCTCAGCACTTCCTTCAGCTTTCTACACTACAAATTTGTTCAACTGTTTTGGAAATTGTTGATGGTGTTAACATTTTGGTTGTCACGATCAGTTCCGATCTGAAATGGGATGGGATCTCTATCAGGCGCACCGTAGAGCTATCATTCAATTGTACATGCTGAAACTGTTCGAAAAGTCCACTCTTTCAGTTCAGGACATCGTTGCAATTTGCAGGGAGTATGCGCGCCCGTTTCAAAATGCATTTGTTGTCTGCAGCGACGTGATTGCGTTATTATCAGAGTATTTTTGGCTTCCCTGTTCTTGTATATCAGTATATAATTTGGACCTGAATTGATGTTATTTTACGTTACATAATGTTTATTTTTTATTCACTTTTGTTGTCTTAGTTTTGAATATATTTGCGTTTTTCTTCGTATTTTTGAATGTTATCGATGCTGCAGTAATTTAGCCTGTGGTCTAATGATGCATTATCGCTCAACCTATGAGAAACGAACGTTTACAAAAGAGCATTCTATCGGCAAAGGTAAAAAAGGAGCAATAACATGGCACATAAAGACGAGATAAGCAAGTAAAGAGGTTGCAATGCGGACAGACAGAAGAGTTTAAAATATGTCCAACCACACACACCGTATAATTAATGTGTAATTCGACTGCAGCACTTTTGAAGGTCTTGGCCAGGGTGTACTTTCTTCCAACGGGCAAGAAACTGAAAACCATTTCATCTCCTGTTGAAAATATGCACTGTTGATGACATAGTTTAAATTTTTATTGATTGATATCTAATACTCAGGTCAGACTATTCACAGACTGAAGAACTGAATCCTCGAAGTCTGTGCATGTTTACGAAGGAAGTAGCCAGTCTATCGTAATGCATATGTGATGTAGGAATTTCCTTTAGATGACATGTTTGCACTTCTGATTTCAAGCTAACAAACAGAAAATGTAAATTCTCTCTACTTTTTTATCGTGTTGCACAGACGACATCATGGCGCTGTTTGAGATATTTCCTTTTTCCCTTACCCCAAACTACTTAATGAACGCTGTAAACAATATTTCGACGAAAAGGTAGTACAACTGCTGGAGAAAACAGTGATTGACAGACGACGCATTTTATTCTTCATGTCAAAAATAACATTATCATAGGCTTTAATTAGATTCTGCGGATTCTCGCGAGATGTTAATGTTAGGCTACTACTATGCACTCTCGCTTTGGTTTACTGGCAATGACATCAGTGGCATACCCAGCTTTGGGTGTTGGGGGCGGTTCAAAAGCGATTGCGGCTTCAAGCTCATTCAACATGATGTTGGGGGAGACAAAAACATCAATAGCCTTAGGTTACAGTCTCGCCATCCTTGCTTTTATTTCATGGTGTTGCTTTTAAGGATTTTGGTGCTAATATTTGATAAGTAAGTTTACCGATTACTGTACTTTCTTTCCTACTCATCTATGAAGCAGGCCCTATTTTTTGTAAGAAAAAAATCCGTTTAAAAGGAAAAGTTGCCCCCTGCCCCCCCGCTGGATACGCCACTGAATGACATCCAATCAAGTGGACTGTAACTAGACTCAAAATTCTGTCCTCCAATCAACGAAGAAGGCAATGTGAAAGTGAACAAAAAACGAGAACTTATTACTTCTCCATTTATGCTCGAGGTCACAGAGTAATGGAGTCTGATTACATGGCAAAGTACCACTATACATTTGGCTAGAGAACAGCAGAAGAGGCGAGGACAGAATCAAAATCCTTCTAATAAATAATTGACCAGAACGTATGACTTTATTTACTCGAGAGAGAGCTTTTCGGGGATGATCAATGTGTGAATATTAGAAAACTGTCTGGCCGGTGCAAGAAAGAAAATCACTGGCTTGACACAATGTTATATCCTCGACGTTAAAAGCTTCAAAACTCGGCCACAGAGTAAATGGTCGATGGGAAATCTTGAGACGGAACTTTTTTATTTCGATCACAAAGGATCCCAACAGATGAGAGATTAACTGGGTGGACCTTATTATTGAACTCATGAATTGAGTATCAGTGAACCATAGTTAGGTTTTATTTCCAGTTATTTGACGAACATCTAACAAAAAACTGCATCTAAAGTAAATAGCGGGCTACACGCAAATTTTTGCCACGTAAAAAAGGAAGCTGCATATTCACTACAAAGAAGAGTTAGTAGCGGATAATAGTGGAGCAGTGCTCTAGAAAGCCTTCTTTGTGCTAGTCGTTTGGACTTTGATATTTCTGTGAGTTTGCACCTTTAAGAGACGGCAGGGCTAACTTGAATCGACTCCAATGAGTTAATAACGATACAATCCAGCGTCCTCCTGCCAAACAAGTGCCGAACTTCGCTCCAAATATCCCCGCTGGATTTTCGATAATGCTTGGGAGTCCCTTAGGTAAATAGGCCTCACACTCCTCAACATGGATTTCTAGCTTGCCGGTGGACTCACACCGGTTGCCCGCAGACACACTCCGTGGCGCTCAAATATCTCCAGCATCAAAACCCTGGCCTAAGATTCTCATCCCAGAGTGAAGGTAAAGATGTTGCCATGAATGTAATAAATTAGTGTGGGCGCAGCTGCTATCGTGACCAGCGGCAAATTTGCCGATGATGAGCCAGGTAGCCGAGTTTGAGATACAGTGATTACCTGTATAGAGGTCGCACAAGTCAGCCTCTGAAACAAAATTTGGACTGTTCTTAAAAAAATGATGCAAATTGTCACAGTCCGTTGACATGCCTCACCTCACATGGAAGACACGAAAAATAAAGCAAATTATTAATTAATATCTCTATCTGCGACAACACACTTTCAGACAGGGAAACCTGTTTTGGCAAGCGTTTCTGTTTTTGTTGACTTTCCGCGGACAACCCCCCGGTTCAGAGATTCCGCCAGGGGTCAGCATTGGGAACTGAATAAGGAGAAGGATCTCTCGACTTTCATCAAGTGTTTTGTACTTATGTATCTTGAATAAGTTGACGCTGTCGGGCTGTCAGCTGTTTTCTTTTTTCTCTTTTTGACTTTTGCATTTTGTGGCCACATTCGCCAAGGTGTCAGTTCCAAGCCAGGCGTAGAATTCCAATCTGCATCTCCCAGTCAGTTAGCTGATACTCTTGAACATGTGCTCATTGAGAACAGAGCTAAACCATTGGAGAACGCTAGAGTCAAAGTACAGATCAGGTTACTTGCCATTAACATAGGTTTCACGACAGTATAAATTGATTCAAAAATTGCAAGATATAACCAAGTCTCTGATCTGGGCTAATCCTGATTTTCAGAACTTTATATTAAAATATGTATCAGTGAGGTAGTTGTGCGCAGGAAACGGTAGCTTTGTGAGGTGATCAGCCAGCTTACATATCATGTCAACGGACTAATTACAAAACGACCGACTGAGAGCTTCAGCTATCATCTGGATCATCAGAGCTATCATTGCCGCTATCATCATTGCCATCAACATCATTCTGCTCCCTTGGCCTATCAAACTGTCCAGCAGACGACCCAGTTACAGAAATCGGGCCAAGGGGTTGAGAGAGCGCACCAAGAGTGTGTAATCTTAGACCACATTGCCGACTTGGCAGGAATGTGCCAATTTGCTGCGACTAAAAGACGACGACGAAAGAGCGGGCAGGAGCGAATATTAATTTTGCCAGATTTCTGGTGCCTCCTCATGGCACGATTGGCAAGGGTGCATGAGAAGGGGCTGTTTGTGCACATGGCCAACTAGTCTTTGATGAGTTAAACCTATATAGTTATAGGTTCCTCTGATTGAATTGAACTGAATCTTGTGTTAATCGACAATTGCAAGTGTGGTAAAACTGAGTAGATACTAAAGTATACAATTTTAACATCAGATATTCATTACCAAAGAGAACATCACCCTCTAGATACACAGACCATGGGGTTACAAATCTATCATAAAGTTGTAGCTTGTATCAGTCTAACAATCTGACTAATCTTTAGCTTGAACCTTTTTAAGATCCGAAAACATTATAGTTTCACACCGACGGACTGATTGAATAGCTCGTTCTTCACAGAATGGAATTCAGTGTGAGACACCTTATCATGTACATCCCACACCGCCTTGGACAGCCTACAGTGCAA